AAAACAGAAAATAAAATAGAGAAACCAGAGAGAGAGAGAGAGAACTTACCTGGCGCTCACCTGGCAGCCCAGCTGGCCCAGCACTGTAGCTAGGCCCAGCCCACCCCACCGCGCATCGTCTTCCTCGCGCCTACTGGCGTTGCGTGTGGCGCGCGCACAGGCGAGCCGCGGCCACCTCCTGCTAGCCACGCAGCTGCTCCCCCTTGCCCTGGACGACGCCACGCCACCCCGCAGAACCCCCTCGACCCCCCTCACTCTCTGGTCCTCTCTCCCCCTCGCCTCCCTCTCGCCCTCTCCACCATGGCCGAGACGCCGCGAGCTCGCTGCCGCCATAGCTGCGGCCACCGTCCATCCCGTGCCTCCTCGATGGGTCCAGAAGAACCGCCATAGCCTTCTGCGTCATCTACACCAACCCATTCGACCGCGGGAGCCCTACATCGCCGCCACGAGTCGTCTTCCCCGAGCACGGCTGCCGGACTCCATCAACGGATTCGTCGCCTTCCGGTCGTCCCCGAGCCAGCTGAGCCTGTCGTCGACCTCCCAGTGAGCTCCGCTTCATTTCCCCTCTGTTTCCCGCATCTTTCCCGTCCTCTAGCCATCGCGTTCATCGAGACCGAGAACCACCGCCGCCGTGGTTCCTTGCCGCCGTGGCCAGGGCCACTGCAGCCTGCGCCTGAGCGCGTTACCGTGCTCGGTGAACCCCCAGGAGCACGTAGCACCTGCCAGTTTAATCCCTAGTGTCCCGTAGCGTCGACCCCGTCCACACCCGAACTCCGGCCACCGCCGCGAGCTCCGTTCCGGTGAGCTCGGGCCGTCTCAGCCTCTTCTGCTCACACAGGAAGACGCGGCGCTCTTCCAGCTATCCGTAGAGCCCCTCCTCCGTCCGTTTGGTCGCCGGAGCAAGAAACCCGAAGGCCTCCGCCGCCTCGACCTCGCCGGCGACTCAACGCCGGCGGGATTGACTCGTTTGACCAGGGGGTTGACCTCCCCTGGGTCAATGACAGGTGGGACCAGAGCCCTGCTAATTTTAGCTTAGTGCTAATTAACTTTTAGTTAACCCACTAAGTCACTGACGTGTGGGCCCGAGGCCACTAACTAAACTAGGTTAGTGTTAGTTTAACGCTAATTAGATTTAATTAGTTTAACTAACTGCTGACAGACGGGACCCACTGGTCAGGTTTGACCTGGACCGGGTCAGTTGACCTGCTGAGGTCAGCATGACGCAATGCTGACGCAATAACTCATTTTCTGGATTTATTCTTTTACAGGAAATTCTAGAAAATAACCAAAACTTCTAAAATTCATAGAAATTCAACCGTAACTCCAAATTAAATAATTTATATATGAAAAATGATCAGAAAAATCCAATCTATCCATCTGTACCATTTTCATGCATGTTAGAACAACTTATGACTACTTTTTAGGACAATTCAACTAAATGGCATTTAAGAAATCACATATGGAGTTTGAATATGAACCTAGGGTTCAAACCCACTCCATTTAACTTGTTGCTAGTTACATTAGCCCAATCAACAGCATATTGCCATGTCATGATCATGCATCATATTGTGCATTGCATTGATTGTGTTTCTTCTTTGTTTGTCGGTGTTTGTCCCCTCTCGATAGACGTGATTCCGACGATGAGATCGATGACACCGATGAAGAGCTATATTATCTTCAGAAGTGCCAGGCAAGCAAAATCCCCTTGTTCATTCCGATAAAATCCCACTCTCTTGCTCTTGCTCTCTTTTACTGCATTAGGACAACAACGATTTATCTGTTACTTGTTGCGGTAGCTGAACCCCTTTATCCTCTGCATGACCTGTCATTGCCACAGTAAATAGATGAAACCCACTAGCATGAGTAGGAGTTGTTTTGAGCCCTGATGTGCCTACTCATTCATGCTTGTTTGTCATGCCTGCTATTGCTTAGAGTTGAGTCAGGTCTGATTCATCGGGGATGAATCGGAGGTGTGTGAACATGTCCTACTGTTGAGAGCTAAGTGTGTGAACACGATTTGGTAAAGGTAGCGGTGAGAGGCCATGTAGGAGTACATGGTGGGTTGTCTCATTGCAGCCGTCCTCAGGAACTGAGTTCTGTGTTTGTGATCCATGAACAGTTACTACCACACATTGGGCTCCGGGCGCTCCAAGCTCTCTCAGCTTATTAATCAACTTGATCTCTGTCCAGGAGTTGCAACTAGTTTCTGGTGTTTGTAGGTAGTGTTAGTAGTCTACCAAGTGGCACCCGGTACAGGTGGGCTTGGGACAGACTAGGCACAGTGGCCCGGTGTACCAAGTGGCACCCGGATGGTGGACTTGGGAACCCTGCACATATCGTTTGGGGCCGTGAGCGACACCCGGCCGGATCTCCTTGCGGATGGAACCCGAATAGGCGATAAACCTGGACGAGAGACTTGTGTGGTTAGTCAGGTCGTGGCCGACACCCTCGCTGGGCTTCCGCTTGAAGGTTGCCGAGTACATGTCGTGTAAACGGCGGTAAGTGGTGAGAGCATGTGTGAAGAAGTACACCCCTGCAGGGTTAATATGATCTATTCGAATAGCCGTGTCCGCGGTAAAGGACTTCTGGGTTGCCTGTACAGTTCATAGACAAGTGAAAGTGGATACTCTAAAATACGCAAGATAAGCGTGAGTGCTATGGATGGCGTTCTCGTAGGGAGACGGGAGCGGATCCATAGTGGTGTATTGATATGGTGAATATGTGGACTCGTGTGCGCCACCTCAAAAGAGTTACTTGCAGTCGTAGTTCAGGTTAGCCGCCGAGTCAAAGCTGGCTTGCTGCAGTTAAACCCCACCTTCCCCTTTGTTGATAATGATGCATATGTAGTTAGTTATGATGTAAGTCTTGTTGGGTACATTTGTACTCATGTTGCTTAATTTATGTTTTTGCAGAGAGACTTCAGTCTCGCTAGTAGTTCCACGTGGACTTCAACGTTTAGCTTGTTACCTCAGCTACGATCTTGTGCCCTCGGCAGGATCTAATAGACAGTCAGGCTTCTCAGCCTTTTTCTTTTGTAGATGTCTGTACTCAGACATGTTAAGCTTCCGCTTGTGCTTGACTTGTTTGCTCTAAATGTTGGGTCATGAGACCCATGATTGTAATATCTCGCTCCTCGGAGCCTATTGAATAAAATACTTGAGTTGTAGAGTCATGTTGTGATGCCATGTTGTGTTTGCACATATCGAGCATATTGTGTGTATGTTATTGAAATGCTTGGTATGTGTGGGATCTGACTATCTAGTTGTTTATCCTTAGTAGCCTCTCTTACCGGGAAATGTCTCCTTGTGTTTCCACTGAGCCATGGTAGCCTGCTACTGCTCCGGAACACTTAGGCTGGCCGGCATGTGTCCTTCTTCGTTCCTGTGTCTGTCCCCTCGGGGAAATGTCACGCGATGAATTCCGGAGTCCTTTTAGCCCGCTACAGCCCGGTTCACCGGAGTCCTGCTAGCCCAGTGCTACAGCCTGGATTCACTCGCTGATGACCGACACGTTCGTTGTTGGGTCATGTATGCCTGTCCCTGTAAGTTAGTGCTACTTTGGGTTCACGACTAGCCATGTCAGCCCGGGTTCTTTGTCATATGGATGCTAGCGGCACTATCATATACGTGAGCCAAAAGGCGCAAACGGTCCCGGGCCAGGTAAGGTGGCACCCGTGGGAATACCATGCGTGAGGCCGCAAAGTGATATGATGTGTTACATGCTAGATCGGTGTGACTTAGAATCGGGGTCCTGACAGCGGTACTGCCGCCTATGGCTCTTGAGCGGTACTACCGCTGGGCACCGCGGTACTACCGCTGGGACCAAAACATGCTCATAGGAAGGAAAAGAAAGCTCCATCGAAGCGGGAAGGCTCAGAGGGTGCGAAGAGGATGTGTACGTGTTGATTCCACCCTAGCCTTACCAAAGCGGACCCCCTCTTGATAGTACGGTGACTCCTGCGAAACATGTCCACCAAAACAGAAACGAAAGAGCTACATCGTCTTTGATTAGAACTCCGAGAGGAAGGGATCGTCTCGTGCCAAAGGATGAATCTCTGAAATGCTCAAAGCACACGATTAGTCCGCAAACGCGTTGTCATCAATTACCAAAACTACATAGAGAGAGATGCCTTAACAAATGTCATGGTGGCTGAGGTCTGAGGCCTTGTAATGGCAGATCGAGTCTTCGTGGCGATGAGGACTTTGCTTGGTGATTCATGACTTGTAGCAGTAGCATCGACAAGTGGGAGTGGCAACAGAGGTGGAGTATAGAGTCTTAACTTTCAGGGTGAAAACCTAATCTCTGGCCTAAATTGGTTGTGCCTGGCAGTGACCTTGTTGAAGACATTGTTCTGAGAGCGCGGATCTTCTCCAGGGTGAAAACCTAAAATCTATGATCGAGCGGTGCTTGTGCACTACTTCCTTCTTGGAGGTGTCGTTTTTGAAGAATTTGGACTTCGGGTGTTGTCTAGGTGGTGGTTCGTGTTGCAACTACAAGGAATTGATAACTGTAGCGGATATTCCTTTCTTCTTCTTTTTCTTCTTCTTTTTTTTGTCTTTTTGTTGTGTGCATCCATAAATGTCTTTACGACATTGTGTTGTTGCAGAAAGCTGGGTGTAATTGATATCTCTGCGATATTAAATACTCCCTTCGTTCCTAAATATTTGTCTTTTTTAGATATTTCAACACGTGACTATTTACGGAGCAGAATGAGTGAATCTAAACTCTAAAATATGTCTATATACACCTGTACATGGTAGTTCATTTGAAATCTCTAAAAAGACAAATATTTAGAAACGAAGCGAGTACATTCCATTTGTCATAAAAAAATAAAATATTCGAGCGTGTGTGCTGGGGTTTGAGGCGGAAGCGAGGTGCTCGAAGAAGGGCCACGTTACTTTTCCCCATTCCCTGCCCAGCCCACTTCACCTCCCAAACACACACACACGGCGGCTGCAAAACACCCAAGAAGCGGAAGAGGAAGCAGAATCGAGAAGGCAATGGCGGAAGCGAACTCGTACGAGGAGCAGCGCCGGCGGCAGATGGAGGAGAACCGCCGGAAGCTCGACGAGCTGCGCCTGCACCACCTCTCCGCCGCCGTCCGCGAGGCCGCCGCCAGGCCCAACCCCAACCCCAACCCCAAGCCCAAGCCGGTCCGACAGATCCTCTCCCTTCTTCCTTCCTTGCCTCCGGTCGGTCTTCCGTCTCCTTTTCTCCCGTACCCGTATATATGACTCGTCCGCCGCCTCGGTGTCGCAGAAGCGGAAGGCCCCGGAGCCCGGCGATCTCCGGCGGTCCGGCCGCGTCGCCGGCCTCCCGGAGCAGCCCGACTACCTCGAGGGCGCGCAGCACCGCGACGAGCAGGGGGTGTACGCCGCATACGACGCCCGTATTTGGAAAGGACCGACCGACGAGGAGAGGGCCGCCGCCGTCGCCAGGGCCGAGGAGCTCCGGCGCCGGATCCACCGCATTCGCCGGCCCGCCTTCGTCAAGACCTTGACCCACGTCTGCGCCAGCAGGGCAAAACTGATGGTATGGTATTGGAGCAAGAAAACTTCCACCGGATGTGAGGCAATGTGGTTCTTGGATCGGATGATTGTTGATTGTTTTTGGGGGGGTTATTATATTCCTTGTGGCAGATGATCCCGAAGCACTTCATCGAGCACCTCCCGGCGCACGATGAGGCGGTCGTCTTGGTGGATGAGGCGGGTGTCGAGTTCCACATGCTGTGCAATGCCAGCAAACAGGGCATCTGCTACCTCAGCAAGGGGTGGAGAGAGTTTGCCGTCCACCATGACCTTGAAAACGGCGATTGCTTGGTTTTCCAGCTGATAGAAAGCGCAAAGTTCAAGGTGAGATTCAGCATGCCCTCCATTCCATGGGTGAAAACGCTCTACTTTTACTTTTAGGAACTCCACCACATTTAGTGTTGAGTGCATATATAACTTGTTTTCATGTGGAATTCCTTGTGTTCCAAATGCGGCCTTGTGATTCTTAGACATTCCTGAAAGTTGCTTGGTGGCCTCGTACTCGTTCATGCGTTCGTCTGTCCAAACAATGGTCTTTAAGTTTATATACATGAGAAAAATCTGTTATGTCTACATAATGACTAGACTAGTACTAGGGTCATTGCGTAGTATCGAACTTCAATGTTTTCTGTATGTCTTATGTTTAAATTATAAAGTGGGTTATATGCGATATCCATAATTGAGACTGGTGAGCTGTGTCTGCTTATTCATAGACGAGAAATTCGGCCTGTTTGGTTTGGACTGCCAATTAATTCTACACACAGTTTGCAGGAAACGTTGTTATTGCTCTAGAAGGGCCTCTAGGAATTATTTCATTCATAGGCCTTTGATTGTCCAGTTATATCTTTTTAGATAATGGAAGGGATTCTTTGAAGGCCCAATCATGAGGATGCCGTTTTATCTCACTGCTAAGTGCATATTGTACAACCTCATTGGTTATGTAAATGATGCAGGTCTACATTTTCAGAGCAAACCCAGACTATGAAAGCAATGAAACTTCCGATGACTCTGAGGATGAACAGTAATGAAGATGTGTGCTTCCCACACAATGTTCGACCGGGGTGCAGGTACATTGTTCTTACCATTGTTGCCTAGGTTGAATACTTGAACTCAATATTTCTTTAATCTTTGCCGATGCACCGATTTCATAATTGGCTAAGCTCGGTTTGCTGATAAAAAACCCCACTTGCTTATGAGTTATGAACAAACATGACTGCACTTCCAGCACTGGAGTTAGATCTTTTCACGGAACGCACTGGCCGTTTTCTCCCATTTCCCTATTGGTTTGAGATTTCGAGCATCGCAACCTTATTTTGTTACTTATGCTAGCTAATTTTTTCTAGAATATGCACAAGCATGCGTATCATATATTCATAAAAGAAAAGGGTGAGAAACCCATCCACATGTCTACAAGATGGCTACTAACCAGAGTTACACTCAACTACTCACTCAAGTTCCACCTATATGCAACCTATGAAAGAAAGAAGACATGTCCGACCCAAATATCCACGCTAACTGCCAAGTCCTACCCTCTTCGTGAATCCTTTGTAGAATGGCAACAGTTGAAGTAGTTGCCCCATCGAACACAATAGCATTGCGGTGTTTCCATATCTGCCAATAGACGAGCAAGATAATTGTGTGAAAATCTTTCCGTACGGTTGCCTGTGGTTGCATCGAAGCACTCCAAGGTAGCAAGTTGTCTGTCCCCAAGCAAGAAGCACCTGATGCTAGACTGATCGTGCGAAAACACAGGATACCAATAGTTGGCTGATCGTCTCCGGCAACTGGCAACAAAGCGGGCAGGCCTCCTGATACGGAAGACCACGGCGCGCGAGGCGATCCAAGGTCCAACATCTGTTCTTATACGCAAGCCAGGCAAACAGCATGCATCTCAACGGCGCTCTGGAGTCCCACACTACTGTGGCAGCCAGGTCTTCTTCACGTCCAAAGTATCGACTCGCGTAGGCAGATCTCAGCCGCGGTCTGGCATCCAAAGGCCAAGCCCCAGCCAGAGCGTCCCCAGTTGTCCTGCTTTTCCGGATCCTGGGAGGGACACGATTGTAGAGCCGAGGAGCAATCTCCTGAATGCGTCTTCCCTGTAGCCAACGGTCTTCCTAGAAGAACGAGCCTGCACCATTGCCCACTCGACGAATACGGCCGTGCGGTAAACAGCAAGCAATTCAGCTGAGACATTGATCTCGAACTCCGCCCACGGTCTCTCCTGGTCTACCCTCTGCACCCACAGCCATCGAGCCCTCAAGGCGGCATTCATCCACTTAAGATCCGGCAGGCCTAGTCCTCCAGTCCACTTCGGCATGCAGACGGTGCGCCAAGCCACGTCACACTTCCCTCCGTGGGTGTCCGAGCTCCCTGCCCCAAAGAAGCCCCGATATATCTTGTTCATGCTCGTCAAGACCTCAGGTGGCACATCTAGTGCCATCATCATATGAATCGACATTGCGCAAAGAACAGATTGCACAAGCATGAGTCTTCCAGATTTGTCCATGTATGCTGCCCTCCACCGCTCCGCGTTGGCAACCTTCTGGCCATCTGGAATTGCATCGCCGTTGGTTTTCTGATTGTTAGCGGCAGGCCGAGGTACTGGCAGGGGAACGATCCCAATGGGCAACCGAGCCCTAACTTCAGTTGATCAGCCTGCTCCACAGAGCACCGAATAGGTGTGGCAGTGCATTTTGGGGGGTTTATCTTGAGGCCCGAGACCTCACCGAAGTCCTGTAGGATGGCCGAGTAGAGTGCCACGTCCACTATGTTTGGCTTGACGTCGGCGGCGAAGAATGACAGGCGGTGCTTTAGGCCCTTCTGGCCAGCGGAGTGAACATCCCATGCGAATCAGCGTACTTGAACATATGGTGCAGGCCCTCCATAACCAATATAAACATCAATATAAACATCAGCCCCCTTAGGCTCATCAATCAGCAGTTTTGTACTTATAGCATACTAAATAAAATGCTCTTGTATACAATTCTGATCTATCCGTAAAAATGCTGACATGTCAAATATGTTTGTTACTTTTGCAGTTTGTTAGAGAAGCAATTTCTTCGATGATGCTGGAGACTCGGCTAATGCAGTTTTGTGCTGGTTGCATGAATGTAGAGTCGTCGCGCTCTCAGTCTCGGTGTAGCGGGATTTTTAACCTGGACCAGATGGGAGTAGGAGGTAACAGCGCGTGGTGCAGACCTTGTATGGCTTGAACTACTGAATGATTCTAGCCTGACGATGGTCTCGAGTGCATTACTTTTTCGTGGCTGTTCCTGTTTGTTTTCGGCTACTAAAATGATTGGGTTCGATGGTTGCAAGATGGTGATTCGAATTCAAACACAAAGTTGTTTCATTTGGTGGCTAAATGGGCGCAGGGATAAGAATTTTATCCCGGCCCGGCGGTTAGACTGACTGTATACATACGATGATGACTGGATTGTGGATTATAACGTACCAAAGAGAAGATCTTCCATGACACATATATGGAGCTTCGGCTGGATTTTTTTATCCCGGCTCTCCGTCGGTCCCGGGAGGATGCCCAAGCTCCGGCTGGCTCTCCGCCGGCCTCGGGAGGATACCCAACTTCGGCTGTCTCTCTGCATGAATCCATTGCCGGAAGCTCGCGGTGAATGGAGTTCCGAGGCGTGCCGATCAGAGGGCCAGGAGTGTCCGCACCTCCGGCGGCTTGAGGCGTGTGTTTCGCTCCAAATCCGAAGTTGAGGAGCGGCCGCTCGAGGCATGTGTATTTCGCTCCAAATCCGGAGTCAGGGAGCGACGGCTCGAGGCTAGGACTGCAAGAAAAGCTCGAGACTCGTGAGCCGCTCGAGATCGACTTGTATTTTAGCTTGACTCAAGATTAACTTGAAAAGAAATGAGCTGAGTATAAGCACTTTATGTAGATCGACCGAGAAATGAGCCGATCCCGAGCCAGCATTGACTCGCTCGATTTTAGCTCGATAGCTCAATATCATATAGTATATTAAGTAATCTTCATGTCTATTACGAAGAATTTGGATCATCATTGCCATATATGTTCTGTACGCATTTCTTCCTTCATTTTTTTTACCTGATTTTTCCTTCATTTTATCTACCAACAAACATGGAAATTAAGCATGGAGAAAATTTAGCCCCAATAGGACACGTGGCCAACCGTGTGTTCAATATCTTTCTTTTTTTGCCAAAGTTTGAGAGCAGACGCACCTTCATTATCTTCTATCAATGATTTCTTGTTATTAAATAGTACACCCTCCGTTCGAAATTACTCGTTCTACAAATGGATAAAATAGATATATCTATAACTAAAATACGTCTAGATATATTTATTCATAGGACAAGTATTTCCGGACGGAAGGAGTAGTCTTCAGTTGAGAAAGAATAAGTCAAATTTTATTGTGATTTTACTGTTGTGATCTATCTCTTTTTTTAAAGAACGCGCACCGGAGTCGAACACAAGATCTCAGGCGTCTATCCCCAGCTCAACAACTGTTGGAAATATGCCCTAGAGGCAATAATAAATTGATTATTATTATATTTCCTTGTTCATGATAATCGTTTATTATCCATGCTAGAATTGTATTGATAGGAAACTCAGATACATGTGTGGATACATAGACAACACCATGTCCCTAGTAAGCCTCTAGTTGACTAGCTCGTTAATCAATAGATGGTTACGGTTTCCTGACCATGGACATTGGATGTCGTTGATAACGGGATCACATCATTAGGAGAATGATGTGATGGACAAGACCCAATCCTAAGCCTAGCACAAGATCATGTAGTTCGTATGCTAAAGCTTTTCTAATGTCAAGTATCATTTCCTTAGACCATGAGATTGTGCAACTCCCGGATACCGTAGAAGTGCTTTGGGTGTGCCAAACGTCACAATGTAACTGGGTGGCTATAAAGGTACACTACGGGTATCTCTGAAAGTGTCTGTTAGGTTGGCACGAATCAAGATTGGGATTTTGTCACTCCGTGTAAACGGAGAGGTATCTCTGGGCCCACTCGGTAGGACATCATCATAATGTGCACAATGTGATCAAGGAGTTGATCACGGGATGATGTGTTACGGAACGAGTAAAGAGACTTGCCGGTAACGAGATTGAACAAAGTATCGGTATACCGACGATCGAATCTCGGGCAAGTACCATACCGCTAGACAAAGGGAATTGTATACGGGATTGATTGAGTCCTTGACATCGTGGTTCATCCGATGAGATCATCGTGGAACATGTGGGAGCCAACATGGGTATCCAGATCCCGCTGTTGGTTATTGACCGGAGAACATCTCGGTCATGACTACATGTCTCCCGAACCCGTAGGGTCTACACACTTAAGGTTCGATGACGCTAGGGTTATAAAGGAAGTTTGTATGTGGTTATCGAATGTTGTTCGGAGTCCCGGATGAGATCCCGGACGTCACGAGGAGTTCCGGAATGGTCCGGAGGTAAAGATTTATATATAGGAAGTCCTGTTTCGGCCATCGGGACAAGTTTCGGGGTCATCGGTATTGTACCGGGACCACCGGAAGGGTCCCGGGGGCCCACCGGGTGGGGCCACCTGCCCCGGGGGGCCACATGGGCTGTAGGGGGTGCGCCTTGGCCTACATGGGCCAAGGGCACCAGCCCCAAGAGGCCCATGCGCCTAGGGAACCCTAGAGGGAAGAGTCCTCAAAGGGGAAGGCACCTCCGAGGTGCCTTGGGGAGGATGGACTCCTCCCCCCTCTTGGCCGCACCCCTTTCTTGGAGTAGGGGGCAAGGCTGCGCCTTCCCCCTCTCCCCTGCCCCTATATATAGTGGAGGGGAGGGAGGGCATCCATACCTGAGCCCTTGGCGCCTCCCTCCCTCCCGTGACACCTCCTCCTCTCCCGTAGGTGCTTGGCGAAGCCCTGCAGGATTGCCACGCTCCTCCATCACCACCACGCCGTTGTGCTGCTGCTGGATGGAGTCTTCCTCAACCTCTCCCTCTCTCCTTGCTGGATCAAGGCGTGGGAGACATCGTCGAGCTGTACGTGTGTTGAACGCGG